TGGGCGGAGTGTTTGTGCACTGGGCAGGCTTCCCAGGGGTGATTGTGGAAAGGAAGGGGAGTGATTTTTAGGGCCCTAAAAAGAAGCCAGGAAGAAGAGGAAAAAATAAAACCCTGTTTAAAAGAAAACAAATTGACTCAAGCATTTTCTGGCATTATCTTTAGTCTAGACTTGGAGATTGAAGCCCAGGCCTGGAGTCTGGAAACATCCATTTTCTTCTTGCTGTATAACTGACCTTCCTAATGACCCAAGACACATCATTACACCAGCATTATAGCCACATACCAAAAATAGCCCAGCCACACATCTTTAGCAGCCTTTTCTTCCCTTCAATAGGTAGCCAGGCAATAAAAACAAATCCTATGCACGTTTTAAGTGACTACATGGATTAGTTTTCACACCTATATCTCATTCTCCTTTTATACTTTGGGTGTTTTGACCCCAAACTATGACTTCTTGCTATTTTGTTTTGATGAAATTCCCACCACCTTGCCATGATTGTGGGGTGAAGCCCTAAATAGTGGGTTGGAGGATGGGCAGGACACTAAAGAGAGAAAAGGGAGAATGTCTTTTACTCAATCTACTTTAGTAAGGAGTGTTCACTATTCTCTTTAGAGAGGAAAGAAAGGTCAGATGTATTTAATTAGACCATTAATCTCTTGCATGTAATTAACACTTCATACTTTGCAAGGTGTTTGTGTGTGTGTGTGTGTGTGTGTGTTAAAGTTCACATACCACATATCACCCATTTAAAGTGTACAAGTGGGCGCCTGGGTGGCTTAGTCGGCTAAGCGTCCGACTTTCGCTTAGGTCATGATCTTGCAGTTCGTGGGTTCGAGCCCCACATTGGGCTCTGTGCTGACTGCCAGCTCAGAGCCTGGAGCCTGTTTCAGAGTCTGTGACTCCCTCTCTCTCTGACCCTCCCCTGCTCACACTGTCTCTCTCTCTCTCTCCTAGAAATAAAAAATAAATAAAAATTAAAAAATAAAGTGTACAAGTAATTTTTTTTTTTTAGCATATTCACAGGGTTGTACAACCATCACCACCATCTACTTCTGGAACGTTTTCATTACCCCAAAAAGAAACTGCATACTCATTAGCGTTCACTCCCCATGCCCACTCCCCTGTCTTACCCCCCACCCCGGGGAGACCACTAGTCCACTTGCTATCTTTATGGATGTGCTGGTTCTAGACATTTCACATAAATAAAGTCATACAATGTTTTAGTCTTTTATCACTGGCTTCTTTCACTTCGCATAGTGTTCTGGAGCTTCATCCTGTTGGAGCGTGTTGTAGTATTTCATATGGCTGAATAATACTCTATTGTATAGCTGCATCACACTTTGTTTATCCCGTCTCTTTCTCTGTCATCACACGGTGTTCTCCCTATGTGTCTATCTCTGTTTGCTGTTCCTCTAAGTATACCCGTCAGTGGATTAGGGCCCGCCCTACTCCAGTATGACTTCATTTTAACTAATTAGATCTGCAAAGATAGTATTTTCAAACAAGGTCACATTCTGAGATTCTGTGTAGAAGCGAGTTTTGGGGGACACTGTTCAATCTAGCGTAGACACTAATGAATAACCACATACATTCAGGTAGAAATCTTTTAAAGTAGCAAGCAGAAATGAGATTTTGGCAAGGTTTAGGGCCAAAACAGGTTCAAAAGAACTTTTCTGGAGTGGTAGGTCATTATGGAGCTGACTGATTTCATAGACATGGCTTTATATTTATAGAGTGGAATTCCAAGTGGGCCCGACTCATCGTAACCCCTATTTCATCCTATGAACAGACCTTGAAAGCTTCTCTTATTTTGACCACAAGAAACAAGCATATGTGGTTTTGTGCTAGTGAAAATTCTTTTATTCATTCAACAAATATATACTCAATACCCACTGTGAGCTGGGACTGCTTTGGCTAGAAGGAATACAGAAGTGACTAGAACACCTTTTGAGAATTTACAACATGCAGAGTTGTCTCAACCCTTTGTGCATTTCATTCTCACGACCATCTTACGTCACTTTGCAAACTGAGACTCAGAAAGGTGAAGTGGTTTCTCCAGCTCTACAAATAAACAGCCTGGATCTCAGATTTGATTCCACAGCCTGAGAAGAAGGCTTCAGCTGTGAGAACAGGTCACTCCTCTTTTATACAGATCCACAGCCCTAGCATGCAACATAGGGGGCATGCAGGATGTATTAAGTGCCAGGCAGAAGTAGATTGTGACAGAATGGCCTTTCTTGTCAGACTTGGGAACCTGGACTCTATTCTGAGGGCAGTGAGGAATCAGTGAACATTATTATTTTTTATTTTTTTAAATGTTTATTTATTTTTGAGAGAGTGAGAGTGGGTGAGGGACAGAGAGAGATGGGGATGCAGAATTCAAAGCAGGCTCCAGGCTCTGAGCTGTCAGGACAGAGCCTGGCCTGGGGCTCAAACTCATGAGTGGTAAGATCATGACCTGAGCCAAAGTCAGACACCTAACTGACTGAGCCACCCAGGCGCCCCAGTCAGTGAACATTATTGATGGAGTGTGACCTTATGCCAGATACTTTGTTTGCTTAATCATCAAGTTTATGGACTTGTGTCACATACTGGGCTTGATGCAAAAAGAGACAGTATCTCTGCCCTCACTGAGCTTACAGCCAGATATATGGAGTGATGAGACAGAAAAGTTACTATTTTCCTAAAATTCTGTTTGAAACACAAGGAAAGATTGGTCAGAAACAAGGTTGAAGAAATAAACAGAAAAATGGTTTTAAAAAGAGAGCTTCATAGGTTGTCCTGAGGATGACAGGGATCCACTGAAGAATTTTAAGCAGGGCAGTAACATAATGACATGGCGCGGTTGTTGAGAAACAGAGAAGAGTCATCGCAACGCCTACGTTTCTGGCTCGGAGAGCTGATTGGATGGTGACGTTGATGCACGTCACGGAGAAGCAGGACACGGGAGGAGGAGGAGATCGCTGAGCTTGACCTGCTTGTGGGACACCTGAACGGAGATGCCCAGCAGGCGGAGGGTTCTTGGACGAGAGCCCAGGAAAGAGAACGGAGTTAAAGATTGATTTTTGAGATTGTCATCACCTGGCTGGAGGACAGCGCCCCAGGAGAGTGTCCTCAGTGAGTGAAGATAGAGGAGGGTCTGGGGTGAGACCCTGAAAAATGCCTCCACTGAAAGGGTGGCAGGAGGAGTCCAAGACGACCATGGAGGGGAAGGTAGAAGTGCGCCAGAGGCCTCGTCATGGCACCTTCCGGTGTCCCCTCAGGCAGCTGCAGTGTTGTCCCTGGCGCCATGGCGACGCCATCCCCTGGCGTAAACCCACTCCCCTCTGCCATTAGAGAGTTCATCTTGCAAATCTAATGGAGTCATGAAGCCATTGATTCTGGTAACAAACATCCAGTTCGCTACAAGACCTGTAATGGGAATTCATTTTGGAGGTCAATATAGCTGTCGATGGAACAGTTCTTCCCCAGAGGCCCGTGGCTTTTTCTGTTATACGCCGCCAGCAGAAGTTGTTCTGCCTTGCATCAGAAAAGACTGGAGAGTAACTAAGGCGATAGATCTGACAAGCTGGTGATCCTGCCCAGGGCCATGAAAAGTGTACTAAACTAGGTCAGATAACAGGGAGTAGAAACAGAAGTACGTCCCCTCTGAAACGAGTTGAATAGCCCTAGCAAGCCCCCATCACCACCCCTGAAACATTATCCCCCTAGCTAGCTCTCACATGGCCAGAAATTACATCTTTATTTCTTTTGAACAAGGAGTTTCACCGTGGAATTATTTTGTGCTCAGTGAACGTTTTGCTCCTTCCACAGACTAAGAAATTTCTATGCACCTGGACTTTATTAGGTAAATCCTGGGACTGTAGACATAACACCATCAGGCACTGTTCATAGAAACCAGGCTAGGCAGGGAGGCAGAGTGACAGTGGATATGATGAAGCATGGGCCAAGTGCTATTGGCAGCCAGAAAAAGGACTGAGTCCAGGAAGGTTTCAGAGAGAATATGATACCCGTGTAGGGTCTTAAAGTCTGCAAATGAGTGCCAGTGGAGTAGAAGCGAAATCCAGGCGGAAGGAACAGTATAAGCCGTAAGAAAGAGTCGTAAAAGGGGCTGGTGTGTCTGGGGACTGATGAAGCTTCCGAATGCCTCGGGTCCAGGAGGAGAGAAGCAGGAAGTAGGTCAGACTGTGAAAGGCCTTATGTGTTACGCTCAGGAACTTGGACTAGGCTTAGAGAACCAGCCAGATGAGTAATGCCCTTGGCTGGGAGGGTAGCACTCTTAGCTATGATCTGTCTTTAATACCTTGCTGCTTTTCTCAGAGCATAACAGAAAGGAGTTTAGGATGAGAGTTAAGAGAATAAAGACCAACTGACACAGAGTGGTGGGCACACTAGCTGGGGGATGCGGAAACATCGTTGTCCTCAGAGGACTTGGGAGGGCAGGCCAGAGGAGCAGGGACCAGTCTTCCATGGGACGGCCTGCTGCAAATACATTTCTGCTTTTATCATTTACACAATAAGGTACAGACCAGGGTCTGAATCAGTATGTCTTCAGGAAGCAAAGCTCATTTAACAAAGCCAGCCTTAGCTTTGACAGAGGTGATGACAGCGGGAGCCTCCAAAGAGGAGGGGGGCAGCAGCACTTACTACTCCAGGGACCGGCCTCCCATGTGGGCCTGCCGGAGTCCTGGTCCTGAGCCCTGGGCAGCCACACCCCTGGGGAGCGGGGCCATCCCCATCAGGGTTGTGACGGGGAAAGGACTTCTAGGTGACTCCAGGAGCGGCGCCAAGGGACAGGGCATCTCTGCCTCCACCAGGAGGCCACAGCCTTTCTCGCAGGCAGACAGAGACGGAGCAGGTGTGTGAGGGGGAGGGAAGGCTGCTGCTGGATCGTCGCCTCTGTTCTTAATAACTCTTCTTCCTCTGACACCCCACTTTGGGATCAGGACACTCTTCTTCCCCTTTTCAGTCACAGAGCTCCTTCTTTTGTTTCACAGACTCACTGAGAAACATGTCCTCTGCCAGTCACGGCCCCCGCTCTTCTCCAGCGGAGCTCAGCAGCTCCAGTCAGCACCTTCTCCGAGAACGCAAGTCCTCGGCCCCGTCGCACTCCAGCCAGCCAACCTTGTTCACCTTTGAGCCCCCTGTGGCCAACCACATGCAGCCCACCTTGTCCACCAGTGCGCCTCAGGAGTATCTCTACTTGCACCAGTGCATAAGCCGGAGAGCGGAAAATGCAAGGTAGGAGACTGCTGTGAGCAGCGGCGGGGCGAGTGCCCACTCACAGGATCAAGTCGCTTTCCGTCCTACAGGTTTTAATTTTAAAGACAGGGGAGTGAGATGTTTTCTCTTCTCAGGTGAACAAATGTTTTTATGAACAGAGCATCCTTCTTTTGCTTAGGTAACCTTCACATTTTACTGATATCAGCTATGTTGCTATACAGTGATAATTGGATTCCAGAGGAACCTCCCATTATCAGAAATCATGCTATAAAAATGTTTAATTTGGGGGGGAGGCACTAGGGGCTAGAGTTTCAGAAGTGGGGAAAAAAATCAATTTATTTGTTGGCAGTAAGAATATAGCTATAAACTAGCACTTTCAACAATAGCCAATTATAGAAAGAGCCTAAATGTCCATCAACTGATGAATGGATAAAGATGTGGTTTATCTGTACAACGGAGTACTAGTTGGCAATTAGGAAGAATGAAATCCTGCCATTTGCAGCAACATGGATGGAACTGGAGGGTGTTATGTTCAGTGAAATAAGTCAGAGAAAGACAGGTATCATATGTTTTCACTCATATGTGGAACTTGAAAAACTTAACAGAAGACCATGGGCGAAGGGAAAGGGAAAAAATAATTACAAACGGAGAGGGAGGGAGGCAAACCTTAAGAGACACTTAAATACAGAGAACAAACTGAGAGTTGTTGGGGAGGGCACGGGGGAGAGGGGAGAGTGGGTCATGGGCATTGAGGAGGGCACTTGTTGGGAGGAACACCGGGTGTTAAATGTAAGCGATGAATCACAGGAATCTACCCCCCAAACCAAGAGCACACTGTATACACTGTATGCAGCCAACTTAACAATACATTAGACTACAAATAAAAGAATATAGCTATAAAATCTTATATTATTGAACAGACCCATATCTCACTTTTGCTCTAGAGCTGCGCTGCCCTGTATGGTAGTCACTATCCATACGTGGTGATCTAAATGTGAATGGGTTCAAATGAAATAAAATTTAAAATTAAGCTCTTAGTTGCACCAGCTACATTTCAAGTACTCAGTAACCACACGTGGCTAATGGATACCATACTGGACAGCACAGAAGAGGAAACATCTCATCATCCCAGGAAGTTCTAGAGCAAGGACTTATTCCTGCTTGAGAATAAAGGTCTTTGTATTTCTAACACCACTAGCTCTCTCACAGGTGTGGAGCCTGTACATGTTTTTATTACCTTTTATTCCCATTGCTAAGGTAAGCAAAAGCACAGAGGGGATGGACTTTGCCAGAGCTTGTAACAGTTGCTACCATGGCCAGCAGACTACAAATCACATTTCTTAATGAACTTAGAAATACCTAATTTGTATTATGAAAATTAAGGCAATTAGAGAACGGTGTATCACATCATGGAACATTTTCATGCACAATCTCACGTGACCAGTCAAAGGCACTGAGAGGTAGCCAGTCTAGCTCCCTCCCCTCCACGTCATAGATGAAGAAAATGAGGCTCACAACAAAGAATGACAGAGATGGGGCTAGCACGCAGGTCTGCTCATTTCTGGTCCTGGACTCTGCAGCCCGCAACCCTGCTTCTGGGTCTCTGAGTCATTCACCATCGCACAACAGAGGCTCCCTGCACTCTTAAGGTTGTCTCAGATGCCCATTTTCATTTGCTTCAGGATTCATTTGTTTGTGAACTTTCACTAGTTTAAACACCATCAACTTGGACATAAGGAGCTGAGTTCAAAAAAAAGTAGGATGAATTAGCCAAGATCACTGAACTAGTTAGCGGCAGCGCAGTAAATAGCACTGCTTCTCCTGAATCACACATCAGAGACGGGCAGTGGGTGTGACCAGAAACAGACCACAGGCTTTGGAGTCTGTCAGATATGGGTCCAAATTCAGGTTCTGCTACTTTTCTTGTGATCTCGGGCTAGTTATTTAACCTCCTTAAGCTTCAATTTCCTTTTCTGCAGAATGGAAGTAACTAATTCTGAATTTTAGTGATGAGCATAAAACAGCAGAACAAATGTACGCAGTAGCAGGTCCTCAGTACATATTACCATCTCTTCTGTGCCGCATCTGCCTCTGCTGCATGTATGATTGCCTGAGAGTAGACAAGGGGAGGTCTTCAAATCATAGTTTTAGCAAAAGGCAGTGTACTTTCTGTTAATGCCTCTCAGTACATATGAAGTACCTGGGAATCTAGTTGAAATGCTGATTCTGATTCAGCGAGCCTGCAGGGGGTCCTGAGATCCTGCCTTTCTGCCGAACTCCAGATGATGCCAGTGTAGCTTGTCTGTAGATCACGCTCTAAGTAGAAGGCTTTACATACTGTTAACAACTGCCACCCACCCCCACTCCCGTGGTGCTGCTAAAGCAACAGAGAACAGACAGAGATGTCTCTGCTTGAATTAGCCATTGGGGCCCACTCTCTGTACCCCCTCCTCTGTAAAACCTCTGATAATTTTCCTAGATGAAATTTATTTCTTCTCCGAATTCCCACAGTAATTTTTTATTCTCTCTCACACAGTGTCTGCAACTCTCTGCTTCGTATTATGGATATTTATATTAATATATTGCTGCACTTTGAAGACAGGTCCAAAGGCATATAGTAGGTGCATAAAATATATCAAAACAAACCTGTGTTACAGAGTCAACATAATAGGGGAGACCAGACTGATCTGCAGCTGGGGAAGCAGCTTTACTGTGAGGCCCTGACCAAGCTGTGCTTGTCTCCGTGTCTCTGCTTTCACTTGTGTGGGTGTGGGAGCAAGAGAGTGATCAGCAGGATCTTGGAGACTTTAGGAAAAAATAAGTTCAAACAATGTTTGCAGAATTCCCAAGCAATGGAAGCTGGGAAGGAAGTTTTCTTCGGCCTAGAAACACTATATAGTTTCTGGAAGCTTTGGAGAAGCTTATAGGATACTAAACTTACTATAACAGTTATGAACTCCGAACACAATATAAAAAAGCAACTGTCTGAAGGCACTGAAGGGCCATCAAAAAGTAGGCAGAAAGAGAGATTTGACTCTCCACAGAAGCTAGCAGCATACAAAGACATTAAAATAAGGGTGTTCATTGCTATAATCTGTGGGGGGAGGAGAGGGAGGACTGGATCCTGAGTGAAGAGACGGTGAGATTCAGGAGAGAGAGAGAAACTCTGGAAAACAACCGAGAAGTTCCAGTTCCTGTGTGGTGGCAGAAACACTCCCTCCTACTGGTCACAACTGAGCACTGTGGACAATTACAATTACCCTGTCATCGTCCTGATTCTAGAAAAATAAAATGAGGCAAATTATAAAGGGGAGTAAAACTTGATGCTACAGCTACACAGAGGTGCATTTCTGTATCTCGTGGAATTGCCCTGAAGGCGGGTCCGCTCGCACAGCAGCACAGCGGAGCACACAGCTGGGACTGTGATAGAAACCCTATCTTTCTGGGTAGGGGAACCAGGAAAGGAGCCCTTTAGAGGCTGGAAAGGAGTACAGTACGCAGAGTAAAGAGAGATGGAGAAGAGATTTCCTAATTCTGGAAACCACACAAGTCTCAGGCTCATCATGAGCTGCATGAGATGTGGGACAGACCACACTAGCACAGCAGAGGCTTTGAGAACTAAACTGAGATTTGCACTCTCACACACAGAAGCAGGAGAGACAGAACTTGCAGCCTGAATCTAACCACGTAGGTTGTCTGCAAAACAAAAACCTCAACGTTCTCCAGAGGATTATAACAGAACCCAGAGTCCACACAACCTAATATCACAACATTAAGTATATAATCCAAAATGACTCAGCATACAGAGAACCAGCAAAATGTAACCTGTTCTCAAAGGAAAGCACTGATGCCAACCCCAGCATACCCAGAAGTTGAAATTATCAGACACACATTTAAAAGCCTGTATTATAACAGTATTCTATATGATAAAGGAAAAATGCATTTGAAATTAATGGAAAGAAAAGAAAAACTATCAAGCCCTAAGTTTATATCGTGAAAAGTTATTCTTTAGGAATGAAAATAAAATCAAGAGATTTTCAGATGAAAGAAAAAGAAGAGAATTTCTAAGAGATGGGATTTAAAGAAGTGACAAGTAAGTTCTTCAGGCTGAAGCAAGATAGTACCAAAAGGAAACTGAAATCTTCAGGAATGAAGGAAGAGCACCAGAAATAATAAATATCTGCATAACTCCCCCCCAAGTTCCTTAAAATATGAATATTGAAACCAAATATTAAACATTGTCTAGCAAGGTTTTCACCTGATTTCCTCTACAGCCTAAAGTGCTTCCTTTATCATTTCTTACCATATAAATCCCCTTTTGACATGTTTTCTCAGTTTTCATTTATTTGGAAAATTCTGTATTTCACCTTCATTTTTAACAGATATTTTTGCTGGATATGAAATTCTGGAATTATGGTTTTATTTTCTTTTGGCATTTTAATGTATGTCATTCTCTAATCTTCTGCCCTTCCTGGTTTCTGATGAGGTCAGATGTTATTTTTATTCTTAAAATCCTATATGCAATATATCTTTCTTCCTCTGAATGTTTTTTCTCCTTTTTTTAAAAAAATTGTGAAATACGAATAACATAAAATTTATCATCTCAGCTATTTTTAAGTGTACAGTTTAGTAATATAAAGTACTTTCACACTGTTATACACAAATCTCCAGAACTCTTTTCAGCTTGCAAAACTAAAACTCTCCACCCATTAAAAATTTCCTATTTCCCCTTTCCCCTACTCCCTGACAATGTCCTTTCTACTGTCTGTATGAATTTGAATTCTCTAGGTAACTCATATAAGTGGAATCATATAGTACTTGTCTTTTTGTAAGTGACTTTTTTCACTTAGGGTAATGTCTTCAAAGTTCATCCATTTTTTAGCATATGTCAGAATTACCGTCCTTTTTATGACTGAATAATATCTCATTGCTTGTTTTGTTTATTTCACCCATAAATAGATACCTTGATTGCTTCCACCTCTTGGCTATTTTGGATAATGGGGCTCTGTACATGGCTG